AATTTATGGATACTTTAAATGACTGCTTCTTAGACCAGCTGGTACAGGAACCCACAAGGGGAAAGGCAATTCTCAATTTAGTCCTGAGTGGAGCGCAAGAGGTGGTCCAAGAAGTAACTATAACAGGACCGCTTGGAAATAGTGACCATAACATGTAACATCCCTGTGGTGGGAAGAACATCTCAACAGCCCAACACTGTGGCATTTAATTTCAAAAAGGGGGAACTATGCAAAAATGAGGAGGTTAGTTAAGCAGAAATTAAAAGTTACAGTGATTAGGGTGAAATCCCTGCAATCTGCATGGACACATTTCAAAGACACCATAATAGAGGCCCAACTTCAATGTATACCCCAAATAAAGAAACACAGTAAAAGAACTAAAAAAGAGGCACCGTGGCTTAACAACCATGTAAAAGAAGCAGTGAGAGATAAAAAGACTTCTTTTAAAAAGTGGAAGTCAAATCTTAGTGAGGTAAATATATAAGAGCATAAACACTGCCAAATTAAGTGTAAAAATGTAATAAGAAAAGAGAAAGAGGAGTTTGAAGAATGGCTAGCCTTAAACTCCAAAGGTAATAACAAAATGTTTTTAAGTACATCAGAAGCAGGAAGCCTGCTTAACAACCAGAGGGGCCCCTGGATGGTCGAGATAAAAAAGGAACACTTAAAGACGCTAAAGTAATTGCGGAGAAACTAAATGGATTCTTTGCTTCAGTCTTTATGGCTGAGGATGTTAGGGAGATTCCCAAACCTGAGCCGTCCTTTGTAGGTGACAAATCTGTCACAGATTGAAGTGTCACTAGAGCAGTTTTGGAATTAATTGACAAACTTAACAGTAACAAGTCACCGGGACAGGATGACATTCACCCAAGAGTTCTGAAAGAACTTAAATGTGAAACTGCAGAACTATTAACTATGGTTTGTAACCTGTCCTTTAAATCTGCTTCTGTACCCAATGACTGGAAGATAGCTAATGTAACGACAATATTTTAAAAGGGCTCTAGATGTGATCCCAGCAATTACAGACCAGTAAGTCTAACGTCAGTGC